ATATTGTTCCGAAGCTTTCTTCTGGCATTTTGGGAATAAATCACAATTTTAGAATAAAATATGTTTGTCAAAATAAATATGGTTTTATATGGTTTTTCCACTTTTATGTGGAGTTAAAGCTTGGACATTTACGGACGCAACTGAGAAAAGACTTGTTAGCTTTGAGATGGAGCGTTATCGAAGAATGTGGAAAATGCATGGAGACCAGTGACGGCCGATCAGGGTTGGCAAAGTCGACCCACACCTTTATAGATATTATAGATTTTTTTTAATATTTAATTTAATCAGTATTTCGATAATAATTTGTGGCAGGTAACAAGTTGATGTCATTTGTTTCTGTGGAATAAAAAAATATCTGTGAGATGATAAAAACTAAATTTTATTTATGATTTTTAAAAGAACTCAACCAATTCGACCAAACTAAATTTTATTAATAGTTTTTAAAAGAATTCGTCCAATGTGAGCGTTGAGTGATGCCTGCGTAAGACTATTTTTAAAGTATTGATCCGAAATCCAAGACATCCATCCGCCAGTGTGAATTCTTAAAAACACACGTTTCAGGGTTTTGGCAAGCCGATCCCAAGCTTGACGATATACATGTAAAAATCAACGAAATATTAATTGATGAGCAATAAAACATACATTTCTCTCCTTAGACATTTAATTGCCAAATACGCAAATTTAAATTTGCCGATACGATTTGGAATTTTTTAATTTACTTTCTGATTCGAAAACATTTAGCGGTGTATCTAAAACAATCCATTTTGAGTTATTTAATCTGAGATTCAGGAAACCATTTGCTTTTAACTAGAAGTAGATGAAACTACTGATATATCATGTCATACACAATTATCAATTGTTGTTCGATATGCGTTACTTGGTAATATTTATGAGAGGCTTTTAGGTTTTACAGACGTGAGTAAAAGCCATAAGGCAGAATATTTTTGGTGTTTTAAAGGACAGTTTTTTAAGAAAGTGCTTACCCAAACTGATTTGATATTCAATGTTGTTGAAAATCAGTTAACTGACATTATTCATTCCAAAAATAGAATAACAATACTGGTGCAAAATCTCAGAGATTTTTGTAATGATAGTAATTTTCACGCAGTGACGTTTTGGACTCGCTCGATATTTCCGAACCCCCCAAAAAAAGACAAAGTCATGACACAGAAACAGATCCCGAGAAACGATTATATTTTGAAATTTTTGATACTATTATTATGCAAATAGACACTCGTTCTTCGAAGACTGAAGATTTGCAAATTTTTGAACTCTTTGACGATTCAACATTTAAAAGTTGCGCCAAAGAATTTCCAAGATATTTATTAGACAGATTAATTAAAAATGTTCCATCATTCTTTAATAAAATAAAATTAGAAAACGAATTAAAAGTTTTATATGCTGATCCAAATATTTTCAGGAGGTGAGATAATAAGTTATAAGATATGTATAATTTTATATACTGCAATTCATTACAACAAACTGTTACCGAAATTAATAAATTATTGTCATTAATTCTCTCATTACCACCAACGTATTTTTTTAAATTATTTTTTTTCAACTATTTTATTTAAATAATTTTTCAACGTATTTTTTTCAACTATTTTTCCAAAAAAAAAGAATTTTTTTATTTCGGCTATTATCATTGCATATAAAAAGAATTTTCTTTTCTCGGCGCTAATGGGTTAATACGAAGCATTAAGAAAGATGAAAAAAGAAACCGAATTACTCAACACTATGAAAGATAAATGAACTACTTTGTCTCTTACTAAGAAATAAAAAATATGAGTTGATGCGATTGGTTATACAAGGAAAAGTGGAAGGAAACAGAATACCGGGGAGACGACGCACATCTTGGTAAAAAAATTTAAAATAGTGGAGTTAAAACAACAATAGACCTTGTCTGAACTGCTGCAGCTAAAGTAAAATGGGCTATGGGCGAAGAAGAAGACAAAAGGATAAATAGTGAATGATAATTAAAAAAAAAACGTAAAATTAGAATAAAAATAAGTACTTACATACTTTTTCGCTACCATTCAGAAGCACGTTCGTATAAGTACCTCCCGGAGGCGGATTTTTTTCTTCAAAATAAGCTATCATCGTAACATCATGTCCCGCTGCAACTAGTCCTTTGGCCAAGGCATTGCCTAACATGTAATGACTTTTGGCCGGCGCGGGAAATACTAGCAAAACTTTGTATCCATTTGTCACCTGGCCGAGGATGAATAGAACTAATAAAATCAAAAATAAATGCCGTCTCTCCCTCATATTGTTCATATATAAATAATCGAAATGGCCTTGCAGTGTAATACACTATCGATGTTCTCGTACCTGCAAATTCGTAAATGTTGTACCTATAATATGTATATTAAGTATTTAGACTACTCGTTAAAAACTTTTTATACAAATATCTTTATCAGTTTAGCAATATCAGTTTTTATAATTCACACAGAAGTCTCTATAATAGAACGACATCGGTTGTATTTTATACCTGCGAAAATTGTAGTATAAAATAGCAAAACGTAAACTTAAACTGAACTTTTGTTTATTTAAGTTGTAGATAAATCGGTAGTTTGACCTCGTAGACCATTATTATCTCGCTTGCTGCAATAATATAAATGTAAAACAGGAGTAGACAACATTTCGTGTCAATGTGCCATTATCTGTTTATGAAAAGATATTTGTACCACCAAAAGTTGTTTAACAAAAACTTCAATCAACGGAAAATCAAACTGCCTTTTCGAGTGTTGTGTAAATCCGAAATGATAGAACGTTCTTCTTCTTACGGTGCCTTATCCTTAAGGAGGTTGGCCATTACATTTGCCCATGTAGTCTTATTTGTAGCAGCCCTGAATAGTTCTATGGAGGTCATGTTCGTCCATTGCCGTAGGTTTTTAAGCCAAGAGTTGCGTCTTCTTCCTGGTCCTCTTTTGCTATTGACTTTGCCTTCGATTATAAGTTGGAGCAGTTCATACTTTTGATTTCTTATGATGTGACCAAAATATTGTGTTTTCCGTTCTTTTATTATAAGCATAAGCTCTCTTTCCTTATTCATCCTCCGCAACACTTCCGCATTTGTCGTATGTCTCATGTAGGATATTCTGAGCATTTTACGGTAACACCAGAGTTCGAATGCTTGGATTCTTTTTTGTGTTGCTTCTGACATTGCCCAGGCTTCAACACCATAGAGCAAGGTGGAGAAAATATAGCACTTAAGTATTCCAGTTCACAATGAGATGCCCAGCTGGCGGTTGCATAGAACTTTTTGCATTTTGTAAAATATTGTACGTGCCTTTTCCAGGCGTATTCTTATCTCTAGTGAGTGGTCCCAAGTTTCATCAAGATTACTTCCAAGGTACGTTGTTCTTGTTACTCTTTCCAGATCTGTTTCGTCGACATTGACCTTCACCCTTCTGTTCTGGTGCTTGCTGATGATCATCGTTTTTGTCTTCTTTGTATTCAATTTCATTCCAAATTCTCTACAGGCTGTCGTTACTCGGTCCATTAAGCGTTGCAGGGCTTCAGCATTATCTGCCAGTATAACAGTGTCATCAGCATATCGCAGGTTATTTATACATTGCCCGTTTATAATTATACCATCCGAGGTACCTTCCAAAGCTTTCTGAAATATCTTCTCAGAGTAAACATTGAACAGCAAAGGTGATAGGACACATCCCTGTCTTACTCCCTTCTCGATATTGATTTTTTCAGATGTTTCGCTTTTTATTCTGATTTTAGCCTTTTGTTCTAGGTAGAGGTTTGAAATGATCCTTAAGTCTTTATCGTCGATATTACATGATCTTAAAATATTTATTAGTTTATCATGTTTCACCAGGCCAAACGCCTTCTGAAAGTCTATAAAACACAAGTATACATCAGAATCGACATCTCTACATCTTTTAACTAGCACACGTATTGAAAAAAGTGCATCTCTTGTTCCGAACCCATTCTTAAAACCAAACTAAGTTTGACCAGTGTGTTCGTCTAGTTTATTGTATACTCTATTGTGTATTACTCGTAGGAAAATAGGACGTTAATTGTTGTATTTTCCATTGTCTTTTCTTTTAAGTCATTTGCCTTTAACCGTTGCCTGTATTGTTTATGAAAAAAAAAGTTGCTATGAAGGGCACCTTAGGGTGAAGCGTATGTTGCTGTTAAGTCCTTTTTGCATAGTCACCCAATAGTGTTTCCAATGGGAAGGTTAGTAAATCGACTGAATGAACGAACGGTTAGGATATTGTCATGAATCTAAAGGAAGTGTAGGAGTTAATTGTTTTTACGTATTCAACCAGGTCAACTTAGGTCTTGAACCTAAGGCCAAAAAAAAACTTCAATAAGTAGGTGGAATTTGCACGAAATATGACAACAATATGTAGCTACAAATTAGGGTAGTTACATCATCATCATCATTTTGGCTTTACAACCTTGTGTGGGTCCTAGCCTCCCCAAGAATTTTTTTCCAGTCGTCCCTATCCATTGTCTTCCTCCGCCAAGCACGTATTTCTTAACTCTTGGTCTTCCTCGTTTGTTTTTTCCTTGCACTCTCGTTCCAAACACTCGTATTGTTAATCTTTCATTCGACATTCTACACACGTGCCCGAACCATCTTAGTTGCCCCTCTACTATTGTTTCGTTTATTGGTTCTAGTTTTAGGTTTTGTCTGGTTGCCTTAAATAAATGCCTTAAATAAATTCCTGGAATCTTTAAATATTTAAAAAAAAAAAAAAGTTGTTCTTGTTACTCTTTCCAGATCTGTTCCGGGGAATTTTTCCTTGTGGATTTTCTTTAAATATTTAGTAACAGAGAATCATAAATGTTGATTGGATATTCTTCGAAAAATCATGAGTTCATAAATAAAAGACGAACTCAACGGTTTATAAGGAGAGTAGAGCTTTATTGTAAAAAAATATCATTGCTTTTTTAAACCAAGCATTAACTGTAATAAGATTTTGCTTCAGTTTGTGGCAATTATTATTAAAATATACAAATTCAAATATAAATTATTCATTTTTGAATGTTTTGCTTTTTCTAGAACAGCAAATCTTTTTACAAGTTATATATACTAACGTAAATACACTACTAAAACCTAATACTAGAAGCGCAATAACATCTAGCAAAAAATATTCGTAGAATGGCATATTAACTGCAGCTACCCTCAAGTGAGGTGCTCCCTTATTTCGTATTACATATTCCACCCAATAAACTGCTGTGTCTAGTGGTTTGTGAATTCTGTCATGCATAAGTGTTGATCTCAGTCTGGCATTTTCTGTGTACCTATAACATGAGCAATTATATAGAAAAATAATTATTGTTCTATTAAAGGAATACAACTAATTAGGACTAATACTAGTTATTACTCACTTTTTAATATTTAATATTTCGTTTAAGGCTTTACTCAGTCCTTGCTCTGTTATCGTGGAGAAAGTCATGGATACTCCGTAACCTGCGGCTTCAGCTTTGGCTGCGTTCATTTTCTGATCCCCGAATATTGGCAGAGTTAATACTGGAACACCGTAGTATATAGTCTCTAAAGTGCTTAGTAAACCTCCGTGAGTGATAAATAGCTTCATATTTGGATGAGCTGTAAAAAATAGAAAAAATAAGTCATATCTTAAGAACAATCTCTGTTTTCTATATTTAATACTGTTCTTTGCTCTCTCTATCCAATGACGCTACAGCTCAAATCGTGGCTCCAACATTGCTGGTCCCGCGCCCATCTTCTCCAAGTTCACATGTCTAGCAAATTTTGCGCGTCCGCGGCCACTTGATCCACCTTTTCTCACCTTTGGGGGTTAAAACCTCCCAGGGCACTATTCCGAAAGTGTTACTCACAAATTATAAGGACTTAAAATGGTGGAGGTAGCATAAAAAAAATCGATGCCCAAACAAAACCTCCCCCTCCCAGAAGAAAAAATTCTAGGTGCGCTACTGCACCTTTTCTGTGGGCTTCCTTTTGGTTTTACGCACTATATTTTACTATATATGGGTCTTTTTTTGATCTCCAATCTCATATCTGACCAGTCCATCGAAATTTCTGAAGTTTAACGAATTCTGAGATCGATGTCTCTTTGAACAGTTGGTAGAGTTCATGGTTGTATCTGGATCTTCATACTCCGTTTTCGTTATTACTGTTGTTTATTCACTATTACCTAAAGTGAGACAGTCTAATTCGTATATTTGAAATATGCCAGCATTTTACTTACCTAATACATCTTGTTGTGGAAACCATTGTCTTATTACAATATTGTTACTCTTTTCTGGAACATCTTTATGCCATTTTATGAGAACCTGTAAATATAATGATGAATAAATTCAGTAAAGTAAATTATTTTTCGGCCTAGGTATAAATACAATATTATCTACTGCATTTATTATAATTTACTTTAAAGGAATTCACTACAATGGCTAAACCGTGAAATGAAAAAGAAAAAGATCTTAATTATTCCATACGTACCATTAAGCAATTTTCATCCGGGTCGGAACAAATATTGCAAGGAATGTGGTATACATTTAAAGTACACTTACCTTGTACGGTAGTTTTCCTAAAGCACTAAATATTGCTGTGCTTATCTCTTCTTTCATTTTAGCCGGATCAATATTAGAGCCCATACTGAAATATATAATACCTTCAAAGAAATGTTGTTATTAGTAAATTCGAAAGCACGAAGGTATATGTATTAATATTTTAATACAGTACATATTACAGATTTTCCTTCAGTGTTCAGACCATCTTTTACTCCAAACCAAATTTAGATGCAGAGTTAACAAAGAAAGAAACGAAAGACAACAAAGAACAAACAAACTGGACCTGAAAAAACTGAAGATTCGGGAATTTAATGCTAATGCACTCTATAGAGGGCAAATGGAATAATATCAAAACAGCATTACTGGCAGCAGCAGCGTCCACCCTGGGAAAAAGAAAAAGGTGAGAAGAGAAGCATAAGAAAGAAATGAAACACACAAAATGTAGAAATAAAAAAAGTGCCTATGAAAATGGACAAATAGAAAAATGGAAGAACATTTCAAAAAAAACGAAATTAAAGGGGCTTAGTTGCATCTGAAGTTGCACATCTAAGGACGCAACTAGCGATTAGTAAAAGGTAAACCAGAAGACTGGTGTTCTTGGACTCTGTTCATATTACCAAAAATTTATTAAACATTTTGGCCGCATTGCTAAGCCCTTTTATCGACTAAACGAAAACAACATTGAATTTGACTAGACACTGGATTATCAATATGCCTTTCTAGATGTAAAAAAAACGATCTATCCTAGCCTACCCACGAGAGTATGGTAAATTTCTGTTGGATTGTGACAAATCTCAGTATTGTGACATTGTATTGGCCGTATTATTACCAAAACCAGAAGACAAAGAAACAGTTACTGCATATTTTAATAAAACAATAGCAAAGACAGAAAAGAATTATTGCATTAATAGAAAGGAGCTCCTAGCTATTATAGCCCAAGAACATTTTTATACTTTTCTTTATAAAAGAAATTTTGTAATTGGAACTAAACATAGCGCTTTCCAATGGCTAATGAATTTAAAAAAGCCAGAAGGACAAGTGGCTCGGTGAATTAAAAGATCAACAGAATAACTTTGACGTAGTACATCAAAAATGGAGTCTCCGTAATAATATGGATATTCTTTCTAAGCGACCCTGTTTGAAACGATAATGTCAGTAGTCTAAAATACTTGCAGAAAAAGAGAATGTAATCTAAGAAGTTAGTCTCCAGGTAACTACAGATAAACAAGAAGATATTAAACTCATCATCAAACTTCCCTAGAAAACCTTAAAAATAGATATGTTTCAGGAAATAACCAAATACAGTAGAACTATAAAGGTGTACTGGGCTTAACAGGAATCTCTGTATCTTTTCAATGGTTTATTATATCGAAAGTGGAAAAGTCTCCAAAAATCAAATGAAAGTGGAGATATAGATCAGCGATGGAACTCAATAAAACAACTATTACAGAAGCAGCAGAGAAATCTATCGGAAGAACGAAAAAACAAAAAAGAAAAAATGGTTCGACGAAGAATGTGAAAGAACTCTAAAAGAAGCAAACAAAAGAAGAATTGATTATCTGTCAAATCCATCAGAAGAAAAACGTATACGATTCCACAGAGAGCGAGCCGCAGCTAGAAGAACACTTAGACAGAAAAAGAGACAATATCTGCAGCAACAAATCAAAAAAGTAGAAGGAGAACACAGACGAAATCAAAGTAAAAATTTCTACAGAGAGGTAAGACAACATAAGAGAGGCTCGTATATAAGCACACCCAACTTTGTAAGAGATAAAAATGAAGAAATGCTGGCTGCCGAAAACAAAATAATAGAAAGATGGGCTGAATATTTTGAAGAGCTCCTGAATATCCAAAATTTCACTGATGAAAACAATGAAAATGGTGGAAACAACGGAGAACGTGAGTATCAAACCGTTGAATTAGAAATACCCCCACCAAGCATGGAAGAAATTACGCATGCCATAAAAACGCTTAAAAACGATAAATCCCCTGGTCTGGACAATATTGATGCCGAGCTAATTAAAACAGGCGGTCATGAACTTATAAGTAAAATACATCAATTAATAGAAATGGCCTGGCAACAAGAAATGATGCCGAAAGAATGGTGTGTTAGTATTATTATACCAATACACAAGAAAGGAAAAAAGGAGTCATGCATGAATTACAGAGGAATCTCACTAATAAACACTACATATAAAATATTGGCTTCGATATTATTAAAAAGATTAGTACCATACGCCGAACAAATAGTTGGTGACTACCAGTGTGGTTTCATGCCTGGCAGATCGACTATTGATAAAATATTTACAATAAGACAGATGCTTCAAAAGTATTGGGAATATAATCACGACGTGCATCAAATTTTTATAGATTCAATATATATATATATATATATATATATATATATATATATATATATAATTTATAGATATATCAAACAGGCTTATGATTCAATTAATCGTGCAACATTATGGAAGGCAATGATCGAGCTCGGCATACCCAAGAAACTAGCCGCGGTAACACAAATATGTGTAAGTAACTCTTTTGCACAAGTTAGAATAGGGGGAATTAGAATAATGCGAAAATGTCATGCGAAAAATATATCCAACAATCAAACCAGACATAACTGCTCGGGGAGCAAAAATCCTCGCCTTTGCCGATGACGTAGACGCAGTAGCACAATCAGTATTAGAAATTAAGGATATCTTTTTGAGCTTTGAAGAAGCTGCATTATACATCGGTCTTAAAATAAATGAAGACAAAACAAAATACATGGTCGTCTCAAAACAAGAACGACGACGAATAAGGCAAAACATTACCATAAATGATCACAACTTCGAAGTGGTTAAAGAATTTAAATATCTAGGAGCACTAGGAACAATAACGAGCTAGAGTCTCTATTTGGAAAAGAAAATCTAGTCAGATATATAAAGGCCAATAGACTCAGATGGGCAGGACATGTGATACGCAGTAACGACAATCGCCTTATAAAATGTGTTCTGGAAAAGGCCAGATGGAAGAAGGTCTGTAGAGAGGCCTAGAAAAAGGTGGAAAGATGCAGTCATAGAAGATCTAGAGAAGAGCGACAATGGGAATTACTGGCACAGGACCGACAAACATGGAAGGCAATAGTAAACGCGACAAAGACTCACGAAGAGTTCACCTTGATTAAATGTCAAAATGCCAAGAAATTGATTTTTTTAGATTCGTCCAAAAAGCCGTTCCCATAGACGTTTTTATTTTTTGTTTGTTTGAAAGTTTAAAAAGGCTTCTTTTCAACAACTGGTACAATATGAAGTACTAGACATCTACTGTAATTGGTTTTATAATTATCGAGTCAAAAAAGAGTATAAAAAGATACAAACTTACCTTCTTTGGCACTGTCCATAATAACTTTCAAATCTTGAGGTAATCCTTTTCCAGGAGATATATGCATTCCACCAATGTTTATCATATTTGGTACCAATGGTACCGGCTGGTTTGTACTCTCGTGAGAATTCAGCAGAATAAGGGACACATTTGCCATTAATTCTTCTAAACTTGGACTTCCAGGAAAAGCTTGCGCTAGTATCTCTCGTTGCGCAGGAAAATAATATATTTGTTGATTTAATATACGAACTAGCGTCATTAACGTATTCTTAACTCTTTGTAATAATGTCATATTTTCACTATAGTCAAGATGTAGGTCTGGTACGTAGGATAACGGGTTGGGATTCCCTACCAAATTATTCACCCAGAAATTAGCACCAATGGGACTAAAGAGAATCACGGGAGCATCGTAGTACCATCCCAGACCTTTTATTGCATCGTTGCAAAATTGTTCTATAACAATTGCATCGAATCTTTGATTTAATGCCAACAACTCCTTGACATTTTGATGTTCTAACATGATTTTAGTTAAAATGATACCTGTGTCGTCAATTTGATGTATTGCCAATGTTGTGGGAATATGTTCTAAATCGAGAAAATTATAATCTTTGTTAACTGAAAAATAAAAGAAATTACAGTAAAAAATGTTTATTACATGGAATTAAATTTTTATCTATTTATTTTAAAAATAAAATCGACATCTGATATGGATAACATTGTAACTATTTACAATGTTTATCAACTATGGATTAAATAACATCTATAAAGGGTAACCTTTATTTTGGTCTATTTTTACTTTTATCCTATCTTATGTAAATATAAAGTTATTGAACAAAATAACCTCATTGAAAGTGCAAATTTTGAATCACTAATGTTCGCAGCTACCGCAACAGGAGAACGCCTACCACTTTATGTTGTTTATAGAGCTGAAAGATTTTATGATAGATGGATAACGAGTGACCCCCCTCGTACATTGTATAATAGAATAAAATCTGGATGATTTGCAAAGTAGTCCTATTACGTTCCAATTTTGCCCTACAGTGAATTTAAAATAGGTGGGCAATGTTGAACTTTTCAGGGGCAACTTTTCCCACCTTGCCTTTAATTTTTTTTCTCGGCTGTGTTAAAGATTGTGATAAAAAATGATAAGTACATTCTCTATTAACATCTCGCTAGTTCTCAAAATAATTTTTGTATGTATTTATATGTGCTAAGAAAAGAAATATTTAAACAAAACTGAAATTTGCTGGGCAAAGTAGGTCATATATACGATACGTAACTAATACGGAAACATTAAGAAAGACAAAAAAAAGAAAAATAATAACTCAACACTATGAAAGATAAATGAAATATTTTGGTCATTTACTAAGAAATGAAAAATATGAGTTGATGCGATTTGGTTTTACAAAGGAAAGTAGAGAGAAAAAGAGTACTGGGGAGACAATGCACGTCTTGGTTGAAAAATTTAGAGCAGTGGAGTCGGAAAACAACAATAGAACTTTTCAGAACTGCTGCAGACAGAGTAGTATGGATCATGATGGTCGCCAATGTCCTTAAAGGAGGATGCACACGAAGAACACATAGAAGAATACACAAAAGGGTAAATTGTGGATAATAAATGAAAAAAAACATATAATCCGATCAAAATTAGAATGAAAATAAGTACTTACATACTTTTTCTCTACCACTCAGAAGCACGTTCGTATAAGTACCTCCCGAAGGCGGATTTTTTTCTTCAAAAAAAGCTATCATCGTAACATCATGTCCCGCTGCAACCAGTCCTTTGGCCAAGGTATTGCCTAACATATAATGACTTTTGGCCGGCACGGGAAATACTAGCAAAACTTTGTATCCATTTGTCACCTGGCCGAGGATGAATAGAATTAATAAAATCAAAAATAAATGCCGTGTTTCCCTCATATTGTTCATATCGAAATGGCCTTGCAGTGTGATACACTATCGATGTTTTCGTACCTGCAAATTCGTAAATATTGTAGATATAATATGTATATTAAGTATTAGACTACTCGTTGAAAACTTTTTATACAAATATCTTTATCAGTTTAGCAATAGCAGTTTTTATAATTTACACAGAGGTCTTTATAACAGAACGACATCGATTGTATCTTATACCTGCGAAAATTTTAGTATAAAATAGCTAAACGTAAACTTAAACTGAACTTTTGTTTACTTAAGTTGTAGATAAATTGGTAGTTTGACCTCGTGGACCATTATTATCTCGCTTGCTGCACTAATACAGTGTGTAATAGCCAAATGGAATAAATTTATTATTTAGGTTACTGTACATCTTTATAAAAAAACCCGAAACACGGCAAATTTAAATTATAACTTGACATTCTTTAACGTGAAAATGCAACACCTACCTTCAACCCCCTAAGAATGACAGATACAACCCCCAATTTTTAAAATAGGAAGTATAGGCTTGTGATATATCGTTTGAAAGGTCTTTTCATTCTCCATTCAAAAATGTTGTCTCTTTCAAGTTTATTAAGATTAATTAAGATAAAATAAATTAAAATCATGTGATTACCGAAATTCGCTAAAATATACTCAAAACTTATTTCCCGTTTAGGTCTTGATAATGAGAAAGTGAACAAAAAACATAGCAATGTGGTTTTTAGATCGTAACCATTAAAAAACTTTAAAGAATTTCCGTGGCAACGTTATTTTAATACGCATTAGTATTATAAATTAACTCCGCCTGGGATACCGTGGGAAATCACAGTGTCACAGCCGGTCCTAAGCCCGGATAAAGGAGGAAGGTTGGGCAATGGGCTAGTCACCCATTACTGTAGAACAAACCCCGACTACGAAACCTATACAAAAGCCTCGGATAGGACGGTCTTATCGACGACGACTCAAGCAAAGAAATATGGACTACTCATTTGGAACATGGAACGTCTTAACCCTAAATAAACCAGGAGCCCAAACATCGCTGCTTAACGAACTTAAAAAATATAAGATACAATTAGTCGCAATACAAGAAACAAAATGGCTAGGCAATGGAATAAAAGACACAAAAACGCACACAATACTCTATAGCGGCAACGAAAATGGAAAGAAAGAATTTGGTGTGGCTTTCGTAGTAGATAAGAACATCAAAAACAATATCTTAGATTTCGAAGCAATAAATGAGAGATTATGTAGATTGAGGCTAAAAACAAAATTTTTTAACCTCACAATCATTAATGCCCATAGTCCAACAGAAGAACACGACATAACAATAAAAGAGGAGTTCTACGATCAATTAGAAGAAATATACGACAATGCCCCAAAAAATGACATCAAGATAATATTGGGTGACATGAACGCCCAAATAGGCAAAGAAGAACAGTTCGCAGGAATAATCGGCAAACACTCACTCCATCAAAACACCAACGAGAACGGGGAATTCCTAATTAATTTTGCCAGCAGGAAAAACATGATTGTGAGCTCTACGTTCTTTGCTCATCGGGATGTACACAAAGCAACGTGGATCATGCCAGGTGGAGCGGTTACTAACCAAATTGACCATGTCTTAATAGACAAAAGAGCTGCCACCAACATCCTAGATGTAATAAGTCGAAGAGGAGCATGCTGTGGATCTGATCACTTGCTGGTACAAGCAAAATATAGATGCAGGATCTCAAGAAACAGAGATAAGAAAGAACAGATAAAAGAGCAGTTGGACATTGATAAACTAAGCCAACAAAACGTTAAACTGAGCTACGAGACAGAAATAACCCAGACACTTATAAACACAGATAACCTAGACATTGAAGAACATTGGAAACAAATGAAGACAAAAGTATTAAATGCAGCAACAAAGACCATCGGTAAAAAGGTAAAGAAGCAAAGGGCAGAATGGTTCAACGAAGAGTGTAGACGGGCCATACACGAACGAAATGGAGCTCACAAGAAATATATGGAAAGGCGAACCAGAGAAAGAGGAACATTTTTCGAGGAGCTACGACGCAGGGCGGATAAAATATGTCGAGGAGAAAAAAGAAAATGGGAAAATAATAAGATACAGAAAATGGAACAAAACCTCCAAAGTAACGATCTAAGGGAGGCATATCAATATCTTCGACAACTAAGAGAAGGATACAAACCCCGAACAAGTCTGTGCAGAAACCAAACAGATAAGATAATTAGTGAACTAACGCAAATAAAATCAGTTTGGAGAAGCCATTTCCAAGCTCTGCTAGGAGCACAAGGAAGCTCACGATCTTCGGATTTGCGGCACATCGAGGAAGGAGACGAAGAAATAAGCAGCCCGACTCTTAAAGAAGTCAAACAAGCAATACAGGCGCAAAGAAACAACAAAGCGCCGGGATTTGACGATGTCCCTACCGAACTGTATAAATTAGGTGGCGAACATCTAACAACGCAGGTGCACGCGCTCATATCTAAGGTATGGAGGGAAGAAAAAATTCCTAGCGATTGGAAAAATGGGATTATCTGCCCAATCTACAAAAAAGGGGACAAACTTAAATGCGAAAATTACCGCGGCATAACCCTCCTATGTTCGGCCTACAAAATTTTTACATCCATCCTGAATAGGCGACTTCAACCATTATGTGAAAATATTATCGGCGAATACCAGACCGGTTTTCGACAAGGCAGGTCGACAATAGATCAGCTTTTTACAGTAAAGCAAATCCTTAATAAAGCTTGGGAACACGATATTGATGTTCACAATATATTTGTCGACTTCAAACAGGCTTATGACTCCATAAATAGAAGCAGGTTATATAACATCATCGAAAGCTTCAATATTCCCTCGAAATATATCCGACTAGTAAAAGCAACGATGGACTCCACAATAGCAACTGTACGCATACAGTACGAATTAACTGACAGCTTCGAAATAGTTCAAGGGCTGAAACAAGGTGATGGACTAGCTCCAACACTGTTCAATCTGGCCCTTGAATATGTCATCAGAAAGCTGAATGTCGGAAGAGCCAATCTCCTAACAAACAAATCTGTCCAGCTCGCCGCATATGCGGATGACATTAACCTCATGTCCCGCAGAGTGGATGATGCAGCAGAAACATATTCGCAGCTGAAAAAAACGGCCAAGGAGATTGGACTTGAAATAAATACACAGAAGACAAAAATACTAACACAGACGCGGACAAAGCGAACAAGAAATCAAAGTAGAGGATGACATTGAAACAGTGAAGAGTTTTACTTATCTGGGAGTCGAAATGAATACGGAGGGAACAGAAGAGGCCGAAAATCGAAACTTAAGGTCTATAAAACTATCATCAGACCGATAGTATGCTATGGATGCGAGACATGGGTTTTGACAGAAAGCACTAAACGAAGATTAGAGGTTTTCGAGAGAAAAATCCTAAGGAAGATCTTTGGACCCATCACTCAAAATGGGATGTGGAGATCTAGATATAACCATGAACTCTACCAACTGTTCAAAGAAGCACCTATTGCAGAGTTCGCTAGAGTACAAAGGCTTCGATGGGCTGGTCATGTGGTACGGATGGATGCCGACAGATTGCCGAGAAAGGCCTTGGATGGTAAAATGCAGGGCAGAAGACCAAAGGGAAGACCACGTAATAGATGGGAGAACGAAGTCACAGCAGATGCGCACAACTTATTGAACGTCAGGGCTTGGAGACGAGTGGCGCGGGATCGCCTTTGTTGGAGGCAGAAGTTACAGGAGGCCAAAGCTCAATTTGGGCTGTAGCGCCATTGGAAGAAGAAGAAGTATTATAAATTGTTTTATTTAAGTTGTCAGTATTTTAATTTAAAAAGTTCGTTCAATTCAATTCTGAAAAATGGTTAGATTAATGAAAATGCATAAAATAACAGTTTTACAAATGATTGGTTACGGAGATAACACCCGAACACAACAGGAAGTAACTCGCCTATTTCATGAGAAATTTCCTAATTTACCGCCTATATCCCAAGGAACAATAAGTAAAATAGAGAAGCAGTTTCGCGAGTTTGGTCATGTAAGGCAGATAAAAAAAGCAGCTGCCAATGCACTGAGTGATGATCTCAAATTAGATGTGTTGCTTGAGTTTCAGGAAAATCCACATACATCGAGTAGACAGGCATCCACTACATTCAATGCTAGCCATATATCGATAGTAAACATATTAAAAGAAAATAAATTGCATCCCTATAAGATGATATCTACTCAGGAGCTCATGAAAGACGATTTCGATAGGAGAACTTTTTTTGTGAGCAAATGATGGACATGTTGGTTAACAATATTATCCAATTAGAAGACGTTATGTTTTCTGATGAGTGTACTTTTTTACTTAACGGTCAAGCTAATCGGCAAAATTGCCGCTACTGGGCCACGGAAAATTCTCACTGGATGAGAGAAGAACACACTCAATACCCTAAAAAGGTTCATGTTTGGGCAGGGATTGTAGGAAACAATATCATTGGTACCTTTTTCAGTGAGGGCAACTTGAATGGCAACAATTATTTGGCACTACTTCAAAATGATGTCATTCCAACGTTGGCAAATTTATATCCTGATCCAGGAAACCCTCAAGTTCCAGCGAATACGATATGGTTTCAGCAGGATGGAGCACCACCACATTACCAACTTAATGTCCGGCAGCACCTCGATACAATATTTGATGTCCCCATGTTTCGTTCTCTAATGAACTCGTCCGGGATATTCAGCGTCGAAGAGGGGGTGGTTTTTGTTGGTAGGCGACCTGACAGGGGCACACGATGGGGGCCCAGATTTCGTGTGAACTCTGTGCCGTTCTCGTGTGGTCCTGCCTTGTTAAATCCAACAGTACTAGAGACACCTTCCCTAGTCGGTTTCGAACCTTTCCACCTCCTTCCAAAAAAAAACTGTGTAATACAGCAGCAGACATTTGCGTGTTCCCGAATTATCCAGGTCCCAGATTAATCGCCTAATTTGATGTCAACAGCAAAATTGAAGCATTGTTAATTGGCAAAATGTGCTATTCCAAAGATCTTTGGATAATTTGTAATTGTGTTCACTTGTTCGATTGTGAAGCACTTATTCGTAAACCCAAATTGATGTGTCAGAATCAGATTTTTGTTTCAGACTTGTTCTTGAGGATCTAAGCGTTCTATTATCAGTTCTTTCAGTGTTAGACCCAGATTATATAATATTTAAAAACACTAATATTATATTATTCGTGGTCAATTCATGATTAAGGAAAATTCATCTGCACCGTTAAAAAATTTAAAAAAAAAAGTAAAAAAGAATTTCAAAACTGTATTTCAGTCTTTCTTTATTTTTTTACTTGTACAAAAACTAAGGATTTTCTTACTTACAATATAAAAAGCTACACTTATACTAAACGTAATTAACCCTAAAAAGGCAACTACATCTAGCGATAGATACTGATACCAAGTCAAATCTAAGGCAGTCATCCTTAAATGTGGTGCTCCTCGGTGCCTCGCAATAAATTCCGTCCAATAAATAGCTAGATCCAGAGGTTTTGTTGGTCGGTCGTGCATCAGGACAGATCTGGTCTTGGCATTCGAGCGGTATCTGAATGGTAAAAATCTTAATGTTAATTTGTTAAAAAATATTATTTTTGAGATAGATATATGAAAACAGTTTTGTAATGTTAATAAATATCACAATAAAGTTTAAGAAAGTTTAGTAAGGATTAACAGGAAGGAATCTGAAATCTGGTGCAGCTACAGCATAGTACTCGAGTGTGGAACTGGGTAATATGTCAAAGTGGGAAAAACTACATTCCTTACTTACTTTGGATCATTTAAAAGTTTATTCAATTGCTCTGTCATAATCTCTTCTGTTATTTGCGAAAACGGAATTAGCAGACCATATCCTATAGATTGTGCTTTAGCGGCATTCATTTTCTGATCGCCATATACAGGTAAAGAGAGTACTGGTACTCCATGGTAGATGGTTTCTAGTGTACTTAACAATCCTCCGTGAGTAATAAACAGCTTAGTGTTTGGATGAGCTAAAAAAATTTCAATATTTAGTAAGAACATATCTACAGATTTATTAAGCGATCATAATTTTATAAAAAATACAATCACTAATCCAATTGTTCGTACAGTTGCTCAAGAAGACTTAATAACTTTGTGCTTGACTTCTGAGTGGGGTGATTTTTTAGATAGACTTGTCTGTATTTACAATAGGGCATTTCTTTTTATTACAATTAAGTTAAAACATCACAAACCCTGGACTACTAGAAGTATCTGCATATCAGCCAATAATATGCTTTCTGTACTGTACATCACGAAATTTACTACCAACGTCTTCGTCACTGAATATATCTCCACGTACAGAGGAATATATCTAACGCTTATCAAAACAGCTAAAAAATGTACTATCAGAATCATCTGAGAAGCTCTAAAAATGTTGCAAGAGAAACTTGGTCTATAATAAACGATCTTCAAAATAAAACTAGCACAGCTCAAACATTTTCTCTTCCAAACCCTAAATGAATACTTCGTTAATGTGAGTAAAAATATAACATCAACTATTTTGCCACAACAAGTTGCTATTTTCTATAATACCAATTCTAAAAGTCTCGAATTCATTATTTATAAGACCAGTTGATAAATTTGAACTGATCCAAATAATCAGTAGTATCAAAAGCAAATCTTCGTGTAGTACCGATAAAACTATTCATAAAAATTTTCTTAAATCTCCCAAAAAATGTGTTGGAAGTCCTTGTCTCACTAATTAACGATTCCTTTGAAAAATGTTTATTTCCAGAGTGACTAAAGACAGCCATTATTATTCCTCTCAGTGCCGGATTAAGGAGGGGGCTATGGGACTATTAGCCCCCGGCGGTAAATTTTTAGTGGCGGTATATCGCTCCGATCACGTTTTAATTCTATGAAATATCATGGTAATAAAACTTTGTCTCTTCATGCAGAGGTCGTACAAAAACACTTTTTATGTTTCCGGGAAATCAGATAGCGCCACTGCGCCTGGCGGCAGCGTGTCCGTCAGTCGTCAACTCGTCAGTCGTGTTAACGCAATTTTCGAGACTAGTCTCAAATTTAACTTATTTATTAGTAAAGTGTTTTCGTGACGTTTCTAAAAAATGAGCGGAAAGGAAGGATGTGCAGTGAGAGTGCCTCCTTTAGATATATTTTGAAGAGTGTATGTGGTATGCAGCAGCCTTGCTTTAGGCCCTTACTAATAGGAATTTCTCTAGTTAATCTATTTCCAGTTTTAATGTTTGTCGTCATATTTTTGTAGAGCTGTTGTACTGCTTATATATTTTTTTGCTTATTCCTTGTTTTTCCATTGCTACCCAAAGCATTGAGAGTGGTACACTATCGTGTGCCTTTGTCAGATCTATAAAGAATATATGAGTTGAAAGGTTGTGGGCTAATCTTTTCTCGATAACTTGCTTTAAAGAGAATATACTGTCCATACAGGATCTGCCTGCACGAAAGCCATTCTGTTCTTCTACATCAGTCATCTCTTTTTTAATTTTATTTTTGATAATTTTTCCATACAGTCTTGAGAGTGAATTTATGACACTTAGCCCCCTGTAGTTTGAGCAATTCTTTCTATCTCCTTTTTTGTAGATGTTGTTAATATGTGCTGTTGTCCACTCCGGTGGTAAGTTGTGTCCATTATAGTATAAGGTGAAGACAAACGCCAGTAATTCCTGTAATACTTGTGGGCTATGTTTTAATAATTCATTTGGTATATCTTGTGGTCCGCATGACTTCCGATTTTTTAGAGTTTGTATTGCATTCTCGACTTCCTGTACTGTTATTTCATTGTCTTCACTGAATTCCAGTTCATATGTTGTTGTACTGATGTTCGTGAATTGAGGTCTTGTTTCAGGCAAAAGTTGTGAGTAGTGTTCGATCTAAGATCTTTCTTCTATTAAATCTATTCTACTCGTTTCTTTTCTGTTTGTTCTCAGATTTTTTACTGCTTTCCATACTTCTCTTGATCTTGTTGACCCTATATATTTGTTGAGTTCTTCGCATTTACTTTCCCAGGAAATATTTTTTGCTTTAGTTACTAAATTTTTTACTTCTCTGTTTGATCTTGCATATGTTCGTCTATCATTTGGATCATTTGTTTGCAGCCACTTTTGATATGCTTGTTTCTTGTTGTGTACTGCATTGGCGATGTCATTTGTCCACCACAATGGAGTATTCTTTTTGTTCTTTTGGATTGTGCCGAGCGCTTCGTAAGCTGCTTCATTGATCTTATTGATTATCTCTTTATAGGTATTCTGGGCTGAGGAGTAGATCAGGTTTGACAATTTTTGGCTAAGTCGCAGCTTATATAAGAATGATATCGAGTCGTTTTGCAGTGCATCAATATTGTATTTAGGTAGATCCGATTCCAGGGGTTTTGATTGAGCTAGTTGGTTATCATTTTGATGTATTAGCCGAGATCGATACTGTAGGTAACATTTTGATCTTACCATATAGGGTAAAGTGTGCAAATCGCGGTCACCTAAGAAGAAAATTTAATATAAAAAAAAGTAAAACTCTGTGAATCAAATTTAAACCGTCAATCCGTAATTTGGGGTTTTAACTTATTGAAAGATACATTTAATTTCAAAAATATAAAATTTTTGTCTTTGACAGAGTCAAAACATAAAAATGTATCTTTGACCGGTATTGTCACCATACATGGACAATACCGGTCATGAGTGTGGGTAATGCCAGTCAATTTGTTTGTGTTATTATTAAAATAAAAATCAATAGCTATTTAACATTTTTTTGTTATAAAACGATTAACGAATGTGGCTTAATGGGTCATAATTCAAGTAAATCAGTAAGAAAGATGAAAAATATTTTTTATTACAAAACAAACAAAAAAAAACAAAAATATGTGTTTTAATGTAAAAATAGTTGACAGTCATCGCAGGTATAACTCTCTGCAGAATTCCATCCACTGCACTCTGAATAAGCCCATCATGAGCAAACGGTAAATATATACCACAATTCATTGTTTTTGCCAAACTCGCTGTAAACCAGGCATCTATCTTCGTATGCATCGTCACTGTTATCACATGATATATCAATATCCGATTGCAAAGAACTAGAATCAAACACCTTGTTCTTGTAATGCCAATTACAAGAAAAAGGTGTTTTATTACAAGAAAAATTACCTTGTAAACCCAAATGCTAATTTTCTCAGTTCTATTGCTGTTACGCCATAAAAAATTAAGCTAAATATTTTTTTTGTGTGGCTATTTTAGCTTCTTGTTCGGCAGAAAATACTGATTTTCTACCTAATGAGACATCTTGAAGATTTTTATTTTTTATTCTTTCTTGCAATGTCGAAAAATGGATGGATTAATCCCTAAGGATTAATAGTATAGGGTATAAATTATAGCATGGGGGTAATACCGGTCAACTGACCGGCATTGCCTCCTGTTGGCATTTTTTTTCTTAGAATTTTTTACTCGTAAACATGTATTAAAATATTGATCTTTAAAAAAGGAATAGGCAGCTAACGTCATTATAATCAATTGTAACCAATTTTAAGATCTATAAGTGAATAAAAATGAATTAAGACCTTATATTACTCAGCATAAAAATAAGATCGAAAACACTGAAAACAGGTTAATAATATTTCTATGACAATGGTGTGCGCCAACTCAACGCTCGTCAGCAATCTGAATATAGAGTAGTGTAGCGACACGTTGGCAGTTATAGAAGGTTGCCAGATTGAATAGATTTCGTAGAATCGGGATGACCGCCATTACCCACTGACCGGTATTTGCACAGTTTACCCTAGTGGTCAGTTCTGCACTCCGGTCCTCTTAATACTCTTATGTCTTGAACTTGTATGTGTGTTTCTTGTTTTGTGATGACATAATCTATAATTGACTTTGTGTTTCTCGTTGGTTGAACCCAGATATACCTATGTATGTTTTTATGTTGGTAGAATCCGTTTAGGATTTTCAGAGAGTGCTGTTCACAGAATTCGATTAAGTGTTCCCCATTTTCATTTGTTTTTGCGTCACTATATTAATATTCGTATCTACAATAAACAGATAGAACCTGTACAAAAATTCCAGTATCTTGGTTGCTGGATAACAAACGATCTTGACTAAGAAGTTGAAATATGTGCTCGTATAGAGTATGCTAGGTACGCTTTCCAAAGAATGAAAAAATTCCTATTAAACTCTACCTAATCGTTGGATATCCGATATCAATTTGTAAAAAATTCATTTATTCCATATGGCTATACGGAGTGGAAACATTGACTCTCGAAATCACAAGTATGAGACGTGTGGAAGCCTTTGAGATGTGAAAAGATCTCTTGGACAGAGCACGTGACAAACAACGAAATGCTGCGTAGAATGGGGACTGAGAGAGAATTCCTTAATATTGTAAAAACCAGAAAAACGAGTTATCTAGGACATATTTACAGAGGAGAAAAATACAACTTCCTACGACTAATAATGGAAGGGAAAGTGGAAGGAAGAAGAAAACGCTCCTGGCTGAAAAGTGTAAGAGACTGAACAGACATTGACACACATTCGATACTAAGAATAACTTAAGATAGAGAGCAATTTGCTGTCGTTATAGCCATCCTTCAGTAATGGAGAGTGCAGCTTAAGAAGATTATAAATTTACAAAAATTTGTGAATACATTTGGATAAAAAGGGCGTTTCCAAGGCTTGCTCAAAGCATGCCTTTTATTACTTTTCTTAGATTTACTTCAACAACTATAAAAGTACTTACCGAGTATATCTTGCTGCGGAAACCATTTACCCAATTTAATATTTCCTGGTTTCTCTGGAAGATCTTCGCTATACTTCCAAAGCACCTTCTGCTTTAATTTTGACAAAGCTTTAATAATACTGTGTTTGGTATCATTATTAATATCAGATGATTCTATATTTGAACCCATGCTAAAATAAACCACACCTTCTTTGGCACTATCCATAAAGTGTTTTAAATCTGTCGGAAGTCCTTTGGGAGGTTTTATATGGAAACCACCGATTCCTATCATACTGGGGGTTGTAGGTACAGGTTGATTTGAACTTTCGTGTGAGTTTAAAAGTACCAAAGAAACATTATTAATTGCCGCTTCAGCATCAGGACAATGTGGAAAATATGATTTCAAGATTTCTGTCTGTGCCGTGGAAACTAAGTAGTAATCGTTTATATATTCATAAAGCGTCATTATAAAGTTAAAAGTTCTCTGCCAAAAATTCATTTCACTTGTATAACTCAAGAACATATCCGGTATGTAAGACGGTGGTGAAGGGTTCCCAGTGAAGCCGTTAACCCAGAAACTTGGACCGATGGTACTGAATAGAATTAACGGAGCGTTGTAGTGCCACTGTAAAGCGTTTATGGCTTTATTCTTAAACTGTTCGATAATTATTACGTCAAACTCTTCATTTGATGACAGCAAATTTTGGACGTTGGGGTGGCCAAGCGTAGCGTTGGCTAGTTGATTACCGATCACGTTCATGATAAAGACGCTTAACATGGGATGCATTTTTTCCATATCAAATACATTAAAGATGGTTTGTTCTGAAAATAAAAACAAGTGATATTATATAGAAAGACTTGAAATAAATAATGTGGTAAGTTCCAAAATCATTATTTCATTATACAATGAATGTATTAGTAGAAACTTTCTCAAAATTAAACATAGGTTTATTCAAGTGAAATATGTTTTTAAGCGCATTATACAGGCTGAGTCATGAGGAACTTTACATACTTCTACCATATGTAGAGTTCCTCAGGGAGCATATCATGTGGCCACTAAAAAATGTCAACTCCTCTTTTTTATTAATTAACAGGGTGATTTGTGTAATTGACCATTTATTTCATTTTACTGTAGTGTTTATACGGCTCATTTGATTTTTTTAATTTTTGCATGATACAGTACACTACTATCAAGCATTCGACTGGTATTAGCTAAACTAAAAAATTCCAGGACTGGCTTTGGAAAAATTAATTTAGGGATTCGTATTAAATATTACACCCTGTATATATATATATATATATATATATATATATATATACATATATATTTTAAAATGCAATAAGTGATTTTCAAACTACATAAATAGCCAATGAAAACGACATATGCGACAATGTTGTCGCACTTTTATTAAATTTTTAGTGAACGATCAAATCTTACCAAAAATAGAACAACCATAATGAAGTATCAAATTATAAGGTAATTAATTTAAACAAATGTTATAAATTTCAAACATTTTAATTGAAATGAGTTCCTACAACATAATCCAATACGTAGAAAATTTAAAAAGAAGAAGAACAATTAAAAAAAACTAAAAATATGTACATAGTTATGATAAACCCATAAATTAGAACTGGAAAAGATACAATAATGGTAACAAAATAAAAATAATTCAAAATAGATTTTCGAAATGGAACCCTGTGCAGCCTGTACACATTTTTGTTGCCGAATTGTTAATTGACGTATTGAATTACGGATACTCTGGGGATCGTTTCTAATAGTATTACAACAATGTATAATTCTATCAATTAATTGTTGTCGGTTATTAATATTCACTTCGTAAACTAGTTGCTTCAATCGTCCCCAAATATGGTAATCAACGGGATTGAAATCAGGGGATCTTGAAGGCCACGAAATAGGGACCTTCACGTCCTATCCACCTGTTGCCATAAACATTATTGAGATGTCTCACTGCCAGTAAAAAGTGTGGGGGTGCCCCATCATGCTGAAAATACATCCCTCGGATAGCAACGTTCGCGTTGGCAAGCAAATTCGGCAAAATATTTTGTAGAAAGTTCAAATAGACCTGCCCTGTTAAAGGACCATCAAAAAAGTGAGGACCTACTAATTGGTTATTTATGACACCAATCCACATGTTAACCGAAAACCTTAACTGAGAACGACGGTCTCGAATAGCATGGGGATTTTCTTCTGCCCACACATGTGAATTTCGTGAATTATTTATCCCGTCTCTGGTAAAATTGGGCTTCATCTGTAAGTAGTGTCCTGTATAGCGTTGGTCGATTATTGTTAATTTATCTACAAAATTCCAACCTATCGATCTCATCTCCAGCATGTAGTCGCTGAATGAGTAACATTGAGTTCTCGACTTACTTGTCTAGTGCTTATTGTAGGGTTCATAGTAACGGCGTCCATAATGTCATCTTCCTGCGCTTCATCTACATGTCGCTCTGTTGTTCCACTAGGAAAAGTGCCATTTTCTCGCAAATAATTAAAAACTGACCCAAATGTTGGATGACTGGGAGTTCGACGATTAGGAAATCTCCTGCGATATTGTCTACTAGCAGCCCTATCATTCCCATTATACAATCCATAAACAAATATTATGTCTGCATATTCTGTGGTCGAAAACTGATGTGGCATTTTGAACGAAAGTAACAAAATCTCTACCAAAACTAACACAATCTACTTAACGTAGATATGACAGAAGAAATATTTATTCTTGTACACATAAATAACAATTGATAATGACAATAATGACAATGGGTATAAAATATCAAGAAACGTCAAACGGTCAACGCCAACCTTCATTTTAAACTTTTTTAGATTTATTTTTATTTAGTACAGTTGATGCAATGTATTATCATTTGACATAAAAATTTAAATCATTTACAATCAACAAAAACTAACACATACAAGAGGTTTGACTTTTTAATCAATTTAATTTATTATTTATCGAAAATAATGCCCAAATACGATCTATGAGTAAAAATTTAAAATTGAAAAACAATTGATTCTATCGTAGAGATAATACAAAGTGACAGTAAAGATGTTAATTTTCTACGTATTAGATTATGTTGTAGGCACTCATTTTAATTAAAATGTTTGAAATTTATAACATTTGTTTAAATTATTACCTTATAATTTGATACTTCATTATGGTTGTTCTATTTTTGGTAAGATTTGATCGTTCACTAAAAATTTAATAAAAGTGCGACAACATTGTCGCATATGTCGTTTTCATTGGCTATTTATGTAGTTTGAAAATTACTTATTGCATTAAAATATATATATATATATATATATATATATATATATATATATATATATATATATATATATATATATATAAATATATATACAGGGTGTAATATTTAATACGAATCCCTAAATTAATTTTTCCAAAGCCAGTCCTGGAATTTTTTAGTTTAGCTAATACCAGTCGAATGCTTGATAGTAGTGTACTGTATCAGGCAAAAATTAAAAAAATCAAATAAGCCGTATAAACACTACAGTAAAATGAAATAAATGGTCAATTACACAGATCACCCTGTTAATTAATAAAGAAGAGGAGTTGACATTTTTAGTGGCCACATGATATGCTCCCTGAGGGACTCTACATATGGTAGAAGTATGTAAAGTTCCTCATGACTCACCCTGTATATTTCATGTCTTCACTGTTATGATCTGCTTTTAACCTGTTGGTGTTGATGGAACTCAACTACTTTAATTAATTAATCAAAAAAAATATTAATTAAAGCAATTGAGTCCCATCAACACCAACAGGTTAAAAGCAGATCATAACAACATGGCCACCAACGTATAAAAGCATTTGAAAGTATTTTAGTTGCAAATTTGAAAGGATAGACAAAGAAAAACCAGTGATTGGAAATTTATTTGATTGTTGGTCAAAATTGATATATTTGCATTTTTTATGATATAAAATTTGAAATCTCTTTAGGTACAAATTGCTCATAATTGATTTTATTTTGATTGACATTTACATTTGATAAATTTCTATTGACAATTTATTACATTTGGGTAAAAAAAAAGTTTCGTCTTTGCAACACATTACTCTAATTTCATATTTGGCGGGGATAAAAGTTTAACAATATGTCGACCACCAGAAACAAAAGTAAAGAGAATTTAGTAGCAACAACTATGGAAATAGAAAAACAGGAACAGCCAATTATAGAAAAAATTGTACAAAAAATGATGCAAGTATAATCAAGCAAAATGAAAGCGAACCAAGATGAAACAAATCAGGCAATGGAAGCAAACCAACAAGAAACAAAGCGAATAATAGAAGAAAATCAACTGGAAACAAAGCCGTCGATAGAACTAAACAACAAGAATATAGAGCAGTGTCTGGAAAATTATGAACAGGAAATTAAAGAATGTGTACAGAACATTGAAAAGATGAAGAATTGCCAAAAAAAGGAGCTATAGAATATGGAAATTAAGTTGGTGAACGATATTCAAAAAGACATGAAAGAAGTGGAAAAAAGATTTAAACAAATAGAAAAACAAGCCACAGAAAATAAAAATCAACAAAAATTAGGAGGCAACGGAGAAATACTTATCCATATTACAGGTGAGGTGAAAATACAGTTTGGCGGGGATGTAAGAAAATTACATCCAGTAGGGGAGAGTGTCAATGAAACGGACAGGTTATGAAACGGACAATCGCTATATTTCGGAACTCTCCGCCACTCTGACTAAACCGAACGCATTATGGTTACAAATACTTCCACTTCCTTGCGCCATAAAGCCAACATCTTGATCCCGCCGTAAACTAAACAAGTGCGTGACCTTCAATATCGTTTCTGTAGATAAAAAAGTAAATATTTTGTGTCAAAAGTGAACTCTTTCACAGGTAAACTATGTTTAATGTCTTTATCATAATTAGACAATATGGTTTGTGTATGCATTAAGTACGTAAAGGTATAGAGATATTTGAAAAATCTATTAGAATTATTTGGTTTTTTGAGGTTAATAAACAAACACGACAATTGTCTTAAAACGGAGAGACAATAATTTATTGAAATGGACGTCCGTTTCAATGCATCGATGTGTCCTTTTCATAACATCGAATAGTCTATTATCAAATTAATAGGTTAGAAGTTGTGTTTATGGGAATAAGCCACAATAATTGTAATTAAAATTACATTTTTTACATTGACGTTTCGACTTCCAAACCGGAAATTGTTCTCAAAATGTTAGAATTTACCTAAAAAACAAAAAAAAAAATAGAAAAAAGCATCTATTTAGCCTAGTTTAGCGGAAAATGAAACGCTCTATTTCCGGTTTGGAAGTCGAAACGTCATTGTAAAAAATGGAATTTTAATTACAATTATTGTGGCTTATTCCCATAAACACAACTTCTAATGTAAACATGCCACAAGCCAACATTCACAAAACATACAAATTAATAGGTATTCATTGAAATCTCAAATAAGTTAGGAAAATAACATCTACTTATTCTCTTTTAGAGTATGGACATTAACAAAAAGAAGCGGGTTCGCCCTACAAGCTCTCAAATCAATTTAGCTGTTAAAGAAGTGTTGAATAAAGGTCAATCAGTTAGATCAGTAGCTAAGGCTTACGGCATTTCCAAATCTTATTTAGCTGATTTATGTAAATCAGCCAAAGCTCAAGATACACCGTACGACCATCTACCCAACATTGGCAATAAGCGCATTTTCACCTGTGAACAAGAAAAGATGCTTGCAGATTACCTTAAGACGTGCTCTAAAATGTGTTACGGATTAACAACTGTACAGGTACGAGAACTTGCATTTCA